TTCTAGTTATATTTTTATTTCCAAAACTGTATGGGAATCTGATGGATATTATATTTAGGACTGTTTCTGTGCAAAGCTTGATGCCTCTGAATTCATTATTTGTATATATCTAAAGGGAAAGGTTAAAAAAATAAGAATGCTACCCAAGTATTGCTTTTAAATGTGCTCATGTTTTTTTTTCTACTGTATGCCTATTTTTAAATCACTAAGGGAGCTATGTATTTACAGTCCTAGTGGGTTTGTAGATTTTACAGATAATAGTTTCCATGATCATGTTCCTCTAAACTTCGCATACTTGAGAGAAGCTGTACTCCTTGGTAACAGATACACACACAAAAAATTGGAATACACTGTAGGAGGAAAGAGATTATTATCTTGCATTCTGCTAAGTAACAAATAGCTCTTCAAGTGAGGCAGATTCTGTAAGAGGACATGATATACTTGAAAGAGGAGGGGCAGGTATTAGAGACAAAATGAACCATGAGACAGTACAGTTTAGTCTCATTAGCAGTAACATTGGGGGGAAAGGAAGAGGCCTCCCTGCCCTAAAGAATGTAGGAATCACTTGGGTGTCCCTTGGGCAATGACACAGAGTCAGCTAATTCTTCCATGACAGCAGCCAGACAATCCTTGAGATCTCCTGGCTTAAAACACATCACTATGAGCAGTAACATACAGTTGTTTGAACGCATTATGGCAGGGGGCAATGCTGTTCGCATGCTTCATCAACCCAGCGTGGTTTAGGAGAATGGCTATTTCTCCTAAACTGAAGATGGGCTTCAGCACAAGTCCAAAAGATCGGAAGACAAAACCTCTGGTCTTGGTGACCGACCCAGATTGGATCTTGCAAAATTATCCTGGGACACGTATATTCCCCTTAATTCGTAACGGCTATTTCATTTATTAATTTGTTTCATAACTTCATCAGTGATGAAATCACCCATTCAAAAAAGGGCCATAAAAAACCTTCAAGAGTAGTACTACTACTTCTGATTTTGTGGCAGCTCTGATTAACATTGACAAATATTTCCTTCTAGAAAGCCTCTCTGGGTCCAGAACTGATGGGGTTAGGTTGCATTGATTAAATTCAGAAGGTAATCATGAGAATCAATTGGTTAGAGGTGATAGTCTCCCCTTCAGGTGATATGATGAAGTACAGGCCAAACAGCCATTTGTCATGGATACTTTAAATTGAATAAATGGGCAAATAATGAAATAAATACAAATTGGATTCCTGCAGAGAATTGGATTTGACTCTCTACCATTCTTAAGAATTCTACGAACCTCTTGCCTGCATTTGACAAGGCTGCTGAAAGCACATTGCTTTTATTCTGTCAGGCTCAATGGGAACATTGGAAGAAATTATATAAAGGTACTTTGGATTTTTTTGGGTCATCTTGGGTAAAAATCTAAATACTGAATAGAACAGAACCAACTTTGCTGTAGGAAAACTGCTGGCAAAAAAACAATTACTTTGACAAATAGACCGGATTTAGTTGGGGCCCAGGAGGAAAAAAAAATCCACTTACTGTAATTCCCCTTAAGATGGTTGAGGCAGTTAAGAAAACACAGAATGTGGCCTTTCATTTTTAGCCTTTCCCCTGTCTTCATCCTTGCTAGTCATATGACTGAATAAAGTTATTATGAAAGGGTTGCAAAGAATTCTAAAAGCCATGCTTTGCTTGTTGTCACCTGCTATGTATTTTACAATCTAGCTGCATATGTTAGTGATTTCAACAGCATTTCCTTTTCTCCAGGGAAATGAAACGTGCAGTGGCCTGCAGTGCTATTTTGCAGGTAAAAGCAGATGTTTGATCTGCGGGCTAGTCCACAGAAAATGCATGGTAGAGAGCCATTGCCCAACTTTGCAGAGGGCATTAATGGCCTGGAAAACTGGAAGGGCCAGTTGGTATGTTGAAGTCTTTGTGTCTTGTAATACTGCCCTTTAGAAGTTCCTGCCAGATTGTGCGCTACAATGGATGTTGGCCATAGACTACAGGAGAGGATTGGCCAGGGAACTTGGGGCAGGAAGCACAGGTTGTTCCAGGGAGAGGAAAAGGAGATGGCCTTCCTAGGAAGGTAATCTCTGTCGAGCAAAGAGACAAGAGTGTGAATAACAAGCTCTGTAAATCAAAGGATATGAACAAAAACAATGAAAAACTTCATAAACAGCACCAAGAAAGAAGCAAAACAGGTTTTTGATTGTTTTTAAAGGGTTTTTTAGATTTCCTCACCTGGATATGATTCTGAGGAACTATTTTCCAACAAGAAAATGATGTTCTGTTTAATGAAAACTGCCATCTAAATGGCCAGAGTAAAATGGCTATTTCACAATACTAGTGTTTTGTTCAATAAACTTATTTTTAGTAGCAGAATGTCACTCATTTTTAACTCACTTTTCAATTTGCAAATCAGTTTATGAAAAGGGCTAATGAAAATGTGGATTCCATCCTTCTGAGGTCAGTAAAATGAGGACCCAGATTGTTGGAGGCAATATGTTGAGCCTGTAAACTGTTTAGTGTGCTGTAAAGCATTGTGAAGCGGTATATAAGTCTAAGTCTATCGCTATTACTATGCCAGGCTACTGAATACTTCCTCATATAGCAGTTCTGACAATTTGAGACTATCTCTGCAATGTATCCCCCCCGCCACCCTTCTATGGATTACATGGGAACACTTAATGTATTCTTTCTCAGTCTAGATGGGAAGGCTGGTTCAAGAGCATAAACAATAAAGAACGGAAGTGAAAATGGGTGTGTATAAAATTTTTATTCTCTATTTTGAATTATTTTTACGCAAGGGACTAGACCAGCTTAAAATGGATGTGAGGAGTCCAGTATGTGGTAAGAATCAATTTGATACGTTATATAAATGTAAGAAATTTGGGAAGTATGGATTCCTAAATTTTCTCTTACTGGCTTTGGTTAGAATGGACAACGGAGCAATAAAGTTTAATAAGAACATTTCCCCACATCTATATTATAGCTTCTGGTTAATACAATTAATGGCAAAAGCAATTAAAATGCCACCTTTATCCCCACTGCTTTTCTATATTATTTTTGTCCATAAAGGGGCAAAATCAGTGATTGTTGAAGTATAATTTGTGCAAAGTTAGGAAGATAAAAGCATGCATGAAAAATCTGTAGCAAAATCTTTCCTATCTCATTAATCTTTTATTTACACCCTCACTTTTTTAATTGAAAATGTTAACAATGGTAAGAATTAACACCAACTAAAATAGAACAAAAATAAGAAAGAGAAAGGGAGAATTAAAAGAAAAAGCTAAAAATGCAAAAAAAAATCTTCAAAATTAGAAAAAAAGAAAAAAATGAGACTGGCTTCCAATGTTCTTCAAAGCATTGAAATTGTAAATACAATTATTTTAATCTCTCTAGTTATATAATGACCCTTATTCTATAATCTATCCTGTGTAATCATCAAATCCATAAATTACAAGTTTCCCCCCTTTTTTGCAATAGTCTGTAAGGGATTTCCACTCACCAATAAATATATTGTCTTTTCTCTAATAAAACTAGTCCTCTGAGCAAGCAGTCATTTTCACCAACCACCCCTTTGTTTCTATATTTGTGCATATAATAATCTCGCTGTAGTTGTGATATATAGAGTATCCCATGATTCTTTTCTGACTTTTCCTATTCTACTAATCTGAGCAAAATTCTGCTTATTGGTTATGTGGCTCATATTTTGTTATTGTATTCTAGCCAAAAGCACATGGGTTCTTAAAACTGTCTCCAAAGTTTTCCACTATAACCAGGAGTTTCAGCATTTACAGCCTAAATGTGATTATGTTAAGGCTAACCATAATCCCATTTCCACATTGAAAGTTCTGAAATACTGTAGCATCAAAAAGTGCTTTGTGATCTATATTACAATTATTTTAAATGTAATAGTGCCACCTGCTGTCCTTGTAGCAACATTAGAGTAACTAGTTTCAAGGAATGCAAAGAGGTTTGAAATAGAATGCAATTTTTGCCTCAAGAAATACAGATGTGTTCATGTGACAATCAAGCTCAGTGCTTTAGTTCCCCAGTCACAATAATCTTAATTAAAATAAATGTAAAATATTGGATTATAACTATAAAATATCATATTCCCTTTTGCATTGTTTTCAGTGGGCAGGCTGTTTTTTTCTGGCATAGATGTATACACACACATCTGTATGTTCTGCAGTACAGTCGATAGCAGTTGTCAAATTCATGTCCCGTGGGCCGGATGTGACATGTGCTAGCTACACTGACCCCCATTTTAGTGAAGAGGGAAAAAATTGCCATATATCACATGATGATGTCACGCAGCAAGTTTGATCCCTGGATGTCTATATGGTATTGATTACATGTACATTTCTCACAGAAAAGAATAGAATTTTAACCATCAACTAGGAAAGTACACTTACTTTGTTAAATACCTTTTGCTGTCAATTACAATACAAATACTTCAATGGTTTTTTACCTTGTGAAAATGAACCCCAAAAGAGTACTTAAATATTTCCCCAGAGAGACATTGGGATTGAAATCTCCAAATTTGCCATTAAGCAAAATATATGACCTTAATCACTATAATTTGATATTTTGTTATTCTAACCTGGTAAGGAGCAACAAGGATCAAAATGGAGGGGAAAGTGAGAGATGGTTGCCTAGTTTGGTTGACTCATTTGAGAAATACTTCAGGTTGTACAGTTTTAACTGTCCTTAAATGTTATAGCGAGACCCAATCTGTTAAAAGAAGTTTTAAGAGCAATATTTTAAACGTCATTGTGGGAATATAACTTTGATATAGCAATAGTTGGTCACTAAGGCTGGAATCAACTGAGATATTGCCAGTTAAAATGTAGAGGGTTTTTTAAAATTAAAAAATGGTTTTAAGACAATATGTTGTGACCAATGTGTATCAATGCCGACTGAGATACATGAGCATCTTTAGTACAGTATCAAGAATACAGAAAGCAGGAAATCAAAGCATATTAAATTGGCACAATTACCTCCAAAGAACAAAACTAGCTTCTTTTTTAATAAACCAGATGAATATACTCATACATAACTTCTCCAATGCTACAAAATTTGTTCAGCTTCTTACAAAACACAGTAAACCGACACTTTGGCAAACAACAACTCTGAAAACTATACACAGAAAAACATGGGTAAAATAGATTTATACAAGTAGAGCATTTTGGCAATTTAAAAGAAAAGTTACTTTTCTTATCATTAATCAAAAGGTAAAACATACAGTAGTCAGTAAAGTTACTATAGAACTAATCCTGAAACATATAAACACTTTTCAATCTCTAAAAGAATATGATCTTTTCATCTGAACTATTTTGATTATTAATACTGAGCCAAATGCTATCAGGATGTTTAAATACTTTGAAAAAATGTTTACCTTGACTTTACATACCCCTCACAAATTGTACACATTAAAATATTATGCCTATAAAATTATTTAAAAGTTATAGCATTCTCTAGCTGCCAACCCTTAAGTCCTCTTTAATATGTACTTTACAAAAAAATTATGTTTCATTTATTCATTTTCAGCGGTGGAACCCTTCGTCTTTTCTTGCTCTCTTCCATCACTAGACATCCTATAGAAGAAACACAGTACCAATTATGGAAAACTTCACTTTGAATAACTGCAGACAAAAATATTTTGTATCTTTCTAAAATATATAACTTGGATTGATTATAAAAATGTGTTTGATGTATAAAATAACTATACTAAGTGTAGTATATATAAGAAAATAATTGAGTTAAAAATAAAACTATAAATAATATTTCATTTCTGCTGTTCAGAAGCAGCAAACAAGAAGTTGTATAAAACAGAAGAAAATATTAAGATTATAGCAGAGGTCTGGAATTGGTCCTCCCTTGCCTTAATGCCAAATAGATACTAATTTCAAGAGAAAAATTGGAAAAAGGGTGGAATCAAGATTCAAAATGCACATTTCACTAGAGCCGTGATGGCGAACCTATGGCATGCAGAGAGATCTCTGAGGGCATGCAAGCTGTTGCCCTAGGTTAGCTGCAGCGTGTATGTACACACCGGCCAGCTGATTTTCAGCCTTTGAAGGGCCTGCGGTGGGCCAGGGGAGGCAGTTTTCGCCCTCCCCATGCTTCAGTAAAGCCTCCAAAGCCTGGGGAGGGGGAAATATGGGCCTAGAGGAAGTTCAGAAACAGGCTATTTCCAGCTTCCAGAGGGCTGCTGGGGGAGGCCATTTTCACTCTCTCCAGGCTTCAAGAGGGTGTGTGTGTGTGTGTGTCGTGCGTGCATGTAAGGGGCAATGGGTGGTGGTGGCGGTCATGCGAGGAGTAACGGAGGTCATGCGCACATTCACGGGGGTGGGGCGGAAGGGAGGCCATATCACATGTGCGTGCTTTCGGCACCCGAGCCAAAAATGGTTAGCCATCACTGCACTAGAGTTTTGCCTAGTTGGTCATTTTCCAAATCCAAAGTACTATCACAATCGGTAGCTTTCTAACTAATCCACTTTATTAAAACACTGTCCTGTCCCTGAGTGGATTATGCACATTTTACAACAGCCAAAAGATTGTTGAAGTAGCATATTTTCATTATTTTTTTAGGATTGGAAACCTTCTACTTACTTTTTCTTATTGCCAGAATCTAGCTTCTCTTTTTTTTCATCTGTGGTGTCCCCATTTTGTTGTGACTGGTTTGTATCTTGACCTTCAGAAGCACCATTCATTACCTTTGTGCCTTTAATGGTTTTTTTAAAAAAATATTTATTAGCATGTTAAATGATTCAAAAAATAAGTTAATTATACATCTACCGTTTTTTTCGAAGTATAAGACACACCAAGATTTTGAAGAGGCAAATTAAAAAAAAAAAAGTTTTTGTACTATTCAGCCCTCCCAAAAATGGCCCATTTTTTGCAAAAAGGACACATTTTTGTCAAGAAAAGGGCATGCAAAGCCTTTAGGAGACTTGTAGAGTACTCCTGGGGGCTGGGGCAAAAATGGCCCGTTTTTCACTCATGTTTGCCTTCCCAGCCCCCAGGAGCACTCTGGAAGCTGCCTAAACATTTTATAAATCTCTAAATTAGGGGTGTCAAACTAGATTTCATTGAGGGCCGCATCAGGGTTGTTTGACCTCGGGGGGGGGGGGAGAGTGGGCATGGCCAGGGTTGGAGTGGCCAGTTCATTGTAACTCGTGTTGGGGTGCCTGTGGTGGCCCGTACATTCTGCCAGAGAAAAGGCACTGTGGGTCAGTCCTTCGCTGTTTCCAGGGTGGCCCCGGATGCCAGATCTAACCACCCCGTGGGCTGGATCCAGCCTCTGGGCCTTGAGTTTGACACCCCTACTCTAAAATCTTGTAAAGATAGATGGAAGCTTAACATATCTAACTTTGTAGAAAAGCTTGGGACATTGTTTTGATGTACAGGAGGAATCAGAATAAGTACTGCCTTGTACTATTTACCTTGTATTCTACACAAACTACTTTACAGTTTGAGCTGAGTAATATTGAGCACAAAGTTGGACCCAATTTAATTATGTACCAACTTGTTATTTATTGTATTATTTACAGTAATATACTTTAAGATCTCCCTATAGGGAGATCTTATGACCTTTTATTTAACAAAACTACAAAGTTACAACAGCCTCAGAAAAAATAGCTTTCAACCCACCCAAAATAAGATTTACATAGCCTAAAAACAATAATATCATACATCTATGTGTTTGTTTGTGTACATTTCACTATTAAATGTTTTTAACATTGAAATGGTTTACTTCTTCTCCAAAATTTAATGTGATAAAAATGTTTACATTCTGATTTTCAATATAAATGTGTTTTTATTCTTAATTCAGAGGTCTCAAACTGACATATAAATGATTATATGCATCACAGTTGGGACAATGAACATATGCATTTTTAGTGAATTGTACAGACCTGTTTGTTCTTTGTCTTTTTCAGATTTCTTGTTTGATCCTTTCTTCCACTGTTCTTTGGTTTTGTTTGCTTCTTCATGCTGTTTTTGCTCAGCTAATGACTTATTTAGTACTTGTGAAAGAACAGAATCGCCTTCCCCAACAAGAAACATAGTCTTGAATTTGTTATAGAGCATAGTGGATTTTTCCATTATAATTTGGCTAACCTTAAACTTTCGTATCTGAAAAGATATTTGGGCGGGGGGAAGCATATATTTTATAAATGAGAGTACAACATGTAGCTGTTGAATGCCATATTTTGTGACAATATTTCATTTCATTTTTCATTTATTAAAATTTATAGGCCGCCCTTTTCCCTGAGGGGACTCAG